GACAGGATTTAGGGTTAGGATATGAGTTAGGGTTAGAGTTAGGTTTGGTGCTATTAAAAAAAGCTAGTGTTAGAAGTAGGATATCAGTTAGGTTTAGGACAGGAGTTAGGGTTAGAGATAGGGTCAGGATAGGAGCTAGGGTTAGGACAGGAATTATAGTTAGGACAGGAATTAGGGTTAGGATAGCAATTGTGGTTAGATTTACAGTTAGGATAAGAGTTACGTTTAGGATCAGAGTTAGGGTTACAGTTAGTTTTGGCGATATTATAAAAGCTAGGATTAGGGTTAGGATAAAAGCTTAAGGCTAGAGTTAGTGGCAGAATAAGAGTAGGGGTTAGAGTTAAGATAAGGATAAGAATTAGAGTTAGCATTAGGTTAAGAGTTGAGGTATTGTGCTGTTAGGCTTAGGATTAGGGTCAGGATAAGAGTTAGGGTTAGCATTAGGGTTAGGGTAAGGACAGGAGTTATGGTTAGGGTAAGGACAGGAGGTTAGGGTTAGGATAAGCATTAGGGTTAGCGTTTGGGTTAGCATAAGGGTTAGGGTAAGGGAGGAGTAAGGGTTAGGGTTAGGAGAGGAGCGTTAGGGTTAGGATAAGCGTTAGGGTTAGCGTTTGGGTTAGGATTAGGGTCAGGTTTTGGGTTAGGATTAGGGGGTCAGGATAAGAGTTAGGGTTAGGGTAAGGGTTAGGAGTTAGGTTAGGGTTAGGATAAGAGTTAGGGTTAGGGTAAGGGTTAGGATAAGGGTAGTTAGGGTTAGGCTTAGGGTTAGGCTTAGGGTCAGGATAAGAGTTAGGGTTAGGCTTAGGGTCAGGATAAGAGTTAGGGTAAGGGTTAGGGTTAGGGTAAGGGTTAGGATAAGAGTTAGGGTTAGGCTTAGGATTAGGGTCAGGATAAGAGTTAGGGTTAGGCTTAGGGTCAGGATAAGAGTTAGGGTAAGGGTAAGGGTTAGGGTTAGGGTAAGGGTTAGGGTTAGCGTTTGGGTTAGCCTTAGGATGCATTAAGGTTATTAAGGGTTATATGAGTTATTTCATGAATTACTTTATTTTACTTGAAAAAAAAAGTGTCGTTGGGGGCCAATATTACAATAGCTTTATCATTTTCTAACAAATCTTATGCTATGTCATTCTGCCATCCCAGATCCAAATATCTCTCTACGGAGTTCTTCCACAGTCTTTTCTACATAAACTGATTCCGCAGATTTACTGACTTCCAACTACAGCTGAGAGATAAAATGGGCTCATTCTGTGTCCACCTGTTGGGCCCATTCACGGCCAGATGTCGAGCATTGAAAGGGCTGCTATTGGAGAGAACCTGTTTTCTTGCTTTCGTTATCCTCCCAAAACAACACCATCCGAAGGCCGCCACTCGCAGAGGCCAACAGAGTGCAATTATCCCTGATTGCCGCATTGTTCCGCTCTGAATCGAAATTAAGATTGCCTGAAATGAGGGATTAGCGGCACAATGGCGGTCTGGTGGGGTGTCACCACCGATTGGCTGCTTTTTACTCAACAACATGAAAGTCGGCTTCAGACTGAAATCCTTAAAGGGCAAAACAACATTTTCACATGGCACACACACAGGAACATGCTCACACGTACACAAGGGGCATATCTATCAAGCAATTATAAAGCAATAAAAGCAATCTGACATTCATCAAACATTCACTGTAGGCAAAAATACCTGGTGTGTGTTTTAAATGAGTGATTGATTCGCCACAAGTGAAAATTAAAACTGACTGCTTTATAAATATGCCCCATAATGACATGGAAACACACACATAATGACACACATAGGGGTGTAGTTATTGTTTTTTTAAATTGCAGTGATAACTCTCCTGTTAAAATAAATGTAAATTTGTTCTGTGACAACAAATTTGAACTTTACTAGGCTAGTTTTCTCTCAAAGTCAGATGTTCTCTATTCATAACAATAGTTCAAATTAGGAAAATACTGCATTAAGGCCACTAGATGGGGCTGATGACACTAGGAAATAAATGCTTTAATTTTTATATTACATAATAATTCTTAATTCACATTAATTTTACAAATGAAGAACATCCACTATGGAAGGAAAATAGTCCTGGCAACATTTGATTTTGCCAACATTCACACAGAATGAATGTACATGCAGTTTTGCAAGATTATTAGTGGAGCAGATGTTTTATGATTATATGCCATAGGGACACACATTCTCATGCATTGACATGGGAACACATGCATGCACACATATACCCAAGGTGAGGCCAAAGGTCTGATTTTGTGAGTTCATGAGTCTCAGCTCTACAAACCACCCCTCCACTAATGATAAGTGCTTTCACATCCACTGAGGGACATAGGAATTCTCCTTTAGGTTATACTGCCACCTACAGGAGGATTGGACACTGACAAACATAAATTGTGTGCTTGTGTCTTGGAAGAATGAATGTCTTTTCCTTAGCTCTGCTGTTAAACGACTACCACAGTTTTTCTTAGTTTTCTTTGTTCTCCTCATCTAGGACTTTGCTCTTTGGTCCCTACCCATTTTTCCAACAGGAGTTGTTTTTTCTCTATTGTCTACTATTCAGGCTGTGAGTCCATATCTCTCAGCTACTGACACTTTTGTGTTGGGCATCCCAGACAGATTGTCTTGGGTCATTTGGTTCTTGCTCCACTTTGTGTGGTTGATATTACAGGTCCAAGCTGGGTCCTTCAAAGTGGTTCTTCGCTTTTCTGTTGGGATTTATTTCACTGGTTGTGTGTTTCCATGGCTTTTTCCATGTCATGCGTTGGTTCCCTATTCCCTAAGTCCGCCACCTGGTCTTCTGTTGACATGTTCTCCCAGTTCTACCAGATGGACATTGTATGGATGGTGGACATTATGGCCTCTTCTGATGCCAGCTTGGACTGTAAAGTCTTTTCTTGAGCCTGAGCCTGTGTTGCCCACCCCTCAGTTGGACTGCTTTTGGTAGTCCTGAAAGTTAAAGACTAATAGATGAAAAAGCAAATAGAATTTTTGTACTTCCTGTGATATCCTTTTATTGGAACCCATTGATGGAGGTAGGCAGTAGTTCAACTTCAGGTTATACTGCCATCTACAGAAAGATTGGACACTGGTGAACACAAATTGTAGGTTAGACTGGGATAACCCCTCCTACCGGCCTGACTCATTTGTTTGGATGTGACCTAGTAAGATGGACATCTTTTCTACAGCTCTATTGTTAAAAGACTACCATCATTTTGCTAGCTTTCTTTTTTCTCCAATTCCAGAACATCAGTGTTCAGTCCCTCTCTATGGCTCCACTTTGCCAAAAATAGCTTCTTTTCTGCATGTTTTGTATTGGGTATTCGGTTCTTGTTCCACCTTCGGTTGGTTCAGGTTCCAGCTCTAAGCTGGGTCTTTAAGACTTGTTTGTTCACTTTCCTGTCAGGACTTATTTCACTGATTGTGAGTGTCTTTGGCTCTTCCAGCATCATAAATCAGTTCCCTTTTTAAGGCCCTCCACCAGGTCTTCTGTTTGCATGTCCTCCCAATTCTACCATGCAGACATTGTGTGTACAGTGGACATCATGGCCTCTCCTGATGCCAGCCTGGACAGTAAGGTCCTTCAGGTGGTCTATTGAGCTGAAGGTCATCCCCAGTTCTTTTCTTGTAGCTACTAGTGATTGTTTGCTGGGTTGCCCACCCCTCAGTTGGACTGCTTTTGGAAGTCCAAAACGTTCATGACTGTATACAATAGAGGGAGAGAATTTCCTTTTGGCAAAGTAGAGCCAGATAGAGGGACCAAAGATGTATGGACTTCATGAGGAGAGGAAAGAAAGCTAGCAAAAATTATGGTAGACTTTTAACATCAGAGCTGAAGAAAAGACATGCATCCTTCTAGGACACAAGTAAACAACTAAAGCATTCTGGTAGGAGGGGTTATCCTGGGCTGGACTACAGTTTTACTGTTTTTGTTTGCCAGAGTCCAGGCCACCACCTGGTCTTCTGTTCACAAGTTCTCCTAGATTGTTTGCTGTTTCCCACCCCTCAGTGGACTGCTTTTGGATGTCCCAAAATTTAAAAAAACTAATAGATGATAAAGAGAATACCTTTACCTTCAGGAGGTTTAGACACTGGCAAACAAAAACTGCAGGCCAGCCTAGGATAACCCAACCTATCTGCATGTCTCAGTTGTTTGCTCATGTTCTAGAACAAGGGTTTCCAAACTGCATCCCATGGGCCAGATGTGACCCTTTGCTTGCCTTTATCTGGCCCTTAGGGTGCTACTCCTTTCACTGATATGAGGCTCCCACTAACACCAGAAATGGGGAACAAAATCTCAAAGTGACACCAATTATGGGGCACTATTCCTCCCACTGACACCAATGATGAATTTTTTTTAATCCCACTGACCACCAAGCCTATAGAAATGTTTACTCCCACTGATGCCAGGGCATTTTATACTCCCAGAGGCCATAGTCCGGCTCCCCTATATTTTGAAGGGCAGTAAACTGGCCCTTTGTTTTGAAAGTCTGGAGACCCCTGTCCTAGACGAATGGACATAATTTCTTCAGCTCTGTTGTTAAAAACTACAATTATTTTTGCTAGTTTTTTTAATTCTCCTCATCCAGGACATCAGTTTTGGGTTCCTCTATCCAACTCTGCTTTGCCAAAAAGAGCTTCTTTTCCTGTATTGTCTGCTATTCAGGCTGTAAGTCTAAATCTCACAGCTACTGACAAATGTTGTGTTGGGCATCTCAGCTAGATCGTGTTGGGCCATTCCGTTCTCATTCCACTCTTGGGTGGCTCAGATTCCATCTCCAAGCTGAGTCTTGAGAATTATTTAATGTCAGGACTTATTTCACTGGCTGTGAATGTCCTTGGCTCTTCCAGGGTCATTCATCAGTTCTCTATGTAAGAACTGGTCTTCTCTTCACACATTCTCCAAGTTCTACAATGTGGATATTGTTTGGTTGCTGAGGGTTGTCAGAGTCATCTTAGCAGCATCATGGGCCCCTGGGGAAAGTAATGCACTGGATCCCATACCAGCCTGCCCCATTTTATACACCTACTCTCAAGAACTAAAGTATATATAGTTGATAGAATTAAATATATATTTATTAGTACTTTCAAAAAAAACGGATTTTGAACAATATAAAAACATGACATAAATCAAGGACTAATCAGTATAAAGGGCATAGTTCGGGGGGGAGGCAGAAGGACACAATACAGGGGAAGTCAGGAGGGCACAGTACAGGTTCTGGGACACTGCTCTGATTAACCTGGGGCAGCTAAGTAAAAAGCGGCAAATCCGGGACAGTTGGCAAATATAATGTAATGCAAGATTATCATGGGGGCCCCATGCACCTAGGCCCCCTGAGCAGTGCCCAGGGGTGCCCATGCATTAAGACAGACCTAAGAGTTGTGGACTCATCTGATGCAGCTTCATGCTATGGTCCTTCAGGTGGCTGTTTGAGCTTCAGGCCATCCCGAGTTCTTGGGCCTTTTCCTCGTCGCTCACCCTTCAGTTGGACGTATCCCAAATGTTAAAGTCTAACAGACAAAAAAAATAAGAATTTTGTATAATGCTTTTCTTTGAGGCCATTGATGAACACAGGTCCCACCTATCTGTGTCTATGATCATGCCCTTGGTATAGCTTTGCTACAAAACTGACATATGCTGGTGGTAGGAGGGGTGATCCTGAGCTGGCCAATATCCCCTTTGCTTGCAGTTGTCCAATTCTCCTGTAGGCAGTAAAATCTGAATGTGAAAAACATCCTGGGTCCCTTAATGGACTCCAAGAAAAGGTGAGTACAAAGTCCTATTTTTTAACCCTGCCTTTTCACTTCCTGTCAAAGTTACAATGTTGTCACCAGGAAAGGAAGTGAGAGAAAATCTCCCCAATGGGGAAACAAAACAATGTCGGGAGTTTTCACCATTCACTACTCTATCCGAGATGAAACGACCAGGAACTTTTCCTCGTAGGCACATTTTAATGCTTTTCTCTTTGGGTCTGTTCTTGCTCGAGAGCCGTTAATAAATTCTCCTTACATATACAGTTTATGATGAGCCCGAGCTCTGTCTGCCACGCGGGGTTTTGTTTTCATTGTGGAGACGTAGCTGAGTAGAAGGATTTTTTTATATTCTGATGAATGAGGCGATCGTAGCTGAACCCCTTCACTGCCACCAGAGAAACGTTTTCTGTATTATAACACATTTACGTACATTCCCAACAAAGGAGCCTTTTCTACAAAGAGAGATCACACGCATGATGAATATAAAAGATGTCATATAGAATAATAGAGTCCCTTCATGTCACCTCTCCATAATGACAAGTGTAGGATGGAACATTCCACCGGTATCCGTCAACATAGATGGAATAGAAGAATAGTCCAGTTATGGGAGGAGCAGAACAAAATCAATCAGTCAATTTACAGAACATTAGTCACAGCTCCCGTTATCTGTCCTTGTTCTGTATGTATGGACTATGCACAGTACCATTTCTCTGGTCCTGTATGCCGGGCGTAATTCTCGGTATCTGCCATTATTCTGTATGGATGGACTCTGCCCAGTACCACTTCTCTGGTCCTGTATGCCGGGTGTAACTCTCGGTATCTGTCATTATTCTGCATGGATGGACTCTGCCCAGTACGGTCCTGTATGCCGAGTGTAACTCTCGGTATCTGCCATTGTTCTGTATGGATGGACTCTCACAGTACCACTTCTCTGGTCCTGTATGCCGGGTGGAATTCTCGGTATTTGTCATTATTCTGTATGGATGGACTCTGCACAGTACCACTTCTCTGGTCCTGTATGCCAGGTGTCATTCTCACTATCTGTCATCATTCTGTATGGATGGACTCTACCCAGTACCACTTCTCTGGTCCTGGTCCTGTATGCCGAGTGTCATTCTCAGTATCTGTCATTTTCTGTATGTATGCCGAGGACTTCTGCACAGTACCACTTCTCTGGTCCTGTATGCCAGGTGGAATTCTCAGTATCCGTCATTATTCTGCATGGATGGACTGCCCAGTGCCACTTCTCTGGTCCTGTATGCCGAGTGTAACTCTCGTATCTGCCATTATTCTGTATGGATGGACTCTGCACAGTACCATTCTCTGGTCCTGTATGCCGGGTGGAATTCTCAGTATCTGTCATTATTCTGTATGTATGGACTCTGCACAGTACCACTTCTCTGGTCCTGTATGCCAGGTGGAATTCTCAGTATCCGTCATTATTCTGCATGGATGGACTCTGCCAGTACCACTTCTCTGGTCCTGTATGCCGAGTGTAACTCTCGTATCTGCCATTATTCTGTATGGATGGACTCTGCACAGTACCACTTCTCTGGTCCTGTATGCCGGGTGGAATTCTCAGTATCTGTCATTGTTCTGTATGGATGGACTCTGCACAGTACCACTTCTCTGGTCCTGTATGCCAGGTGTCATTCTCACTATCTGTCATCATTCTGTATGGATGGACTCTGCCCAGTACCACCACTGTAACTCTGGTCCTGTACCACTTCTCTGCCTGTAGCCGGTGTCATTCTCGTATCTGTCATTATTCTGTATGGATGGACTCTGCCCAGTACCACTTCTCTGGTCCTGTATGCCGAGTGTAACTCTCGGTATCTGCATTGTTCTGTATGGATGGAATCTGCACCAGTACCACTTCTCTGGTCCTGTATGCCGGGTGTCATTCTCGGTATCTGTCATTGTTCTGTATGTATGGACTCTGCACAGTACCCCTTCTCTTGTCTTGTATGCCGGGTGTCATTCTCATGTGTCTGTTCATAGCGTTGATTCACGCAATAGAAACGCAGTCCAGATGCATTTCTGCATGTGCATTTTGTTTGCGTTTTGGTGCGTTTTTGATACATTCTGGTGCATTTTTTCCCTCTTTTTTTCTTCAGCTTAAATAATGACGTGTTCCAGTGCATTTTGGTGCTATCCGGTGCATTTTTCTATATGTTTTACAGCGTAGCAGTACAGTTCAGTGCAGAACAAAATGCAGCATGTTCTACTTATTGTTCTGGAACTGACCGCACTGGTGTGAACTACGCCATTCAAAACCATATAACCTACTATCCATGCTGTTTTGATGCAGAAAGAAACACACTGGACTGCTGAACAGGTCCTTATTCTGTATGTATGGACTCTGCTGAAATACTGATTCTCAGTATCTGCTGGCCCGCAGTCTAGGGAAATGTCCTCCATTATCTGAAATAATCTAGATAACATAATGATCCTCTGTTGGTGTTATTAGTACTGAGGTTATATTTCCAATTCCCATCCCGGTTGGGTTGGTGGCTGTTACATGGAGATCGAAGAGTTAAGAGACGGGGGAGGGGGTTACCTTTTTACTCATCTCATGATCTCTCCTTTCATATTAGGAATAATTGTGATAATTGAAGCACGGTTTAAATGCAGCTCATTGCAAATGAATCGCTCCAATCCCCCACCTACTTCCCTGCCAGTTGTGGTCCCAGAACATCTGCAGAGAAGGGGGTGAGTGGGATTCTGTGTTAGGGACACAAACCGCTACAATGTATCACATGGTGCTGGGATATATACTGTATATATATATATATATATATGGGGAGCTCAGGATCACTAGCCAGATGCTTGGAAAAGCGGCTTTATTGGTTTCTCGAAACAAACAAATAAAAACAGCTTTCCTCAGCAAAAGTAAAGACAGGCAGTCCATAATCCTGGTGTACTTACAACGACATAATGGCTCACCACCAGTTTACCAGTCCCACACCAGGGTTTAAAGTTCCTGTCTTCTTCCAGCGACAGCAAATAAATGTCTCAGTCACCAGTCGCAGATGTAAACAACTCCACTCCACCTCACCGACAGGTGCCGACTCCTTTTCAGACCTCTCCTGCTGGTGGGTCTCCTTCAGGAGCAAAGTCCCTGTACTCAACTGGAGGCTCTTTCCCTCCTTAAGTCTCTCCAACCCTTGAATTCCAAGTGACAAATGAGGACTTACCAGTCAGGGAACACTGTAAATCAGTCCCCTGCTCTCTGACTAGACCACCCATGAACCCCTCACCCTGCATAGTGAGAACACCTGGTTACTCAAACTGTGTTCCCATCAGGGGCGGAGTGACCATTTGGAAACTTGGGTACTGCCCGAGGGCCCGGGGTCAGTAGGGGGCCCCATGAGATGCCCCTGGTACCTTTTTCATAGGCTTTTTTGGGTGTGGGTGAGGACACAGGGGCCCCATGATCCCCTATTGCCCGGGGGCCCCATGAGTTGTCAGTCCTCCCCTGGTTTCCATCATCCGTCTTAAAGGACCATAACCCAAAGAGTGTAGACAGGTATCTGTAAAATATACTGTATATACAGGAAGAAACATGACAGACCTGCCGTCTTTCTCAGATCTGAAGGAACAATCTGTCAGTGAATGGTGGCACCAGTAGATGATGCCAGATGAAGAATTGGTAATTTTTTCCTCTGATATGGACTGCAGTCTGCTGTGAGGGGCATAGATACTACTTCAATGATATGATCAATAGCTCAGAGATACATTGTAACAGTTCAGGAGAACACTGCAGAGAATTGGTAAATAAATGAAAACGAAGGTTCTTTTTATAGATCTACACCAAAGCGTTTATTTCTGATACTCTGCTGGACCTGTCATTGGTCTCTGGGACTGTATTATCTAATAACATGACACACTCTCTAAAAAAGAAAAAAAAGAACAAGGATTACTGGATCGTACTTGAAGGCTGTGTTCTACATTCAGTCATTCCCATCCTGTCATTCCTTTTTGGATATCCTACACATGGATCTTGATATCACAAATGGAAGAAAGCTCCATATCAGCTCTTGTCATGAACGCCAACACCTCTTCTTCATGATATCATTTGTACTCAATGCTTCCTAAAGTCTAGTGCACACGATCAGAAAATCATAAGTAAAATATTGCTTTTGAAGCGATCGTACAATAATCTGATCTGCAGTACACAGTTTTCCTCCAAAATTATTTGGAGGGACAAGCAAGAACATTTTTTTCCCCGTATGAGACCAGATCGTATGATTTTCGTTTAAGAGCTATGGTTTGCGTCCGAAAATACAATACAAATACAATAGATAATGAAAAAAACTCCTGTGCTCAATGGAACACCTATTAATAAGCAGCGCACACTCGCCTCAACCACAAGGGAAGAACATAAAAATACAAAAAATAGTGCAGCGCTAACAACCTATACTAAAATACAAATGAGATAAATGGAAATAATCACATATAGAATGCACAATAAATATTCCAGTGTTAGGTGCTCATAAAATGAATACTATGTGCAGCAGTCCATAAATTGCCAATGATGGTGAAAAATCACAGCAAAACTCTGTGAGGTGATCACAGTGCCACTCAGTGTGCGGTTCAGTCCACGGATGGCCAAGATGGCCCTCACCTCCTTGATGCGACGCACTGGGCCAAACAGCTATGTAGGTGACCTTATACACCCAATAAGGTATCATTAGAGATGAACGCGAATTATTCAAAAATTCAATTCGGCTGATTCGCCGAATTCGCGGAATAAATTCGATTCGAGGCGAATATATTCGCTGCGAATTTAACTTATAAAAAGGGTGTTTCTAGGCTTTAGAGAGCTTTATATTAGTGGCGGTGGAGGCAGCAGCAATGGAAGGCCATACAGCACCCTATCAACAAAATGGAACCCACCAACAGTGTAAGGAGACCTGAAAGTGGCACATGGCAGAGTCTGGGCGATGAAGTCAGCAGCAATGGGGAGGCCGTACAGGGACCCATGACACACTCTGGACCTGGCAGCAGCAAGAGGAGGCCGTGGTACAGGGGCCCATGGCAGAGTGGCGAAGCGTATGCAGCTTAAATTGAAGGCCATACAGAGGCCTATGTTCAAAAATAATAACATGTTTGGGGCATGATTCATGGAGGATTTAGTCAGTCCCTGTCTGGAACTGAGTGGTGGTTTGAAATCCAGACTAATCCACGCTGATTCATTTCTCACAAACATGAGTCTCTCCACACTTTGGGTGGACAGTCGTGTCTCCGCGGAGTTTACAATACCTCCTGCCGCGACTAAACACGCGCTCGCGATGCCACGCCTACTGGCGAGGCATGACTAGCCTTTCAAGGGCAAATTCAGCTAGTTGGGGCCAAAGGTCAAGTTGACGTTGCCACAGTAGTCAAGGGGATTGTCTACCTCGGTTGGCAGGGTTGCTGTCCAAGTAGGCCCTAGCCTGTTGTTTTTGAGGTCCTGCTCCAGGTCCACCTGATGCTGCTGCTGTGTGCTGCTGCTTGCGGCTGGTTAGTAGTTTCCTCACTGCGCTGGTGAAAGAAAGCTACTCATTCATCGAACTGCAGACTGAGGCAGCCGCTGAGCTGGTGGAGCTGCCACTCTGCTCCTACCACCCCACCCCTCCCCTGCTGCCAAGGCAGGCGGTACGGCGGGAGCGCTCACAGGGCCCACAGAGTCTGAGGATGGACGTTGGTGCAGAAAGGCCGAGACCAACTGACTACATAGGTGGTTTTTATAGTACTTTATTTTGGCCTCCCCTCTCAGCAGGTGTGGAAAAAGGCCACCCATTTTTGAACGGTAGCGAGGGTCCAACAAGGTGGACAGCCAAAAGTCATCCCTCTGTCTGATGGTTTATTATTCGGCTGTCGCTACGCAAGCAACCGAGCACGCTATAGGGCCATTTTGTGCCAAGGAATTGCGTGGGAACTCCCATGCCTCCATCTCCACAGCATACTTTGCCACGGTGCGTCTGGGTTCTCTGTTCTCCTCCTCCTCTCTCTTCCAGATGCTCCTGCTCCTCCTCTACTCTGTCACGCTGGAGTGGAAAAATACCCAACCCAATTCCACTACAATATTTCCTGAGCACCAATGTCCCTCCCTCTACCCTCCTCCTATTCTTCCCTGTCCTGCCCCTCACCTGAGGGTCATGTGGAGTTGAGATCTGTGCGACCACGTCTTCCGCACCCTGACCAGCCTTTGTTGTTAACAGCATTAGTTCCAGGTACGTGCAAACAGAGGAATGACGTCGTTCTTCATCCCATTGTCCTGCCGACTCACGCACAATAGCGTGGCCTCCTCAAAAGGGCCTGAGCAAGCGGCAGGTTGTCACGCAATGACGCTGCCAATGGCTGACATCTATGTCTACACAGGGGGAGTACCTTTATCCGCTTGGTAACATCCCGGAAATCGGGTGATGGCCCTTTCGCTGTTCGTAACAAGGTGGTCTAACATGTGTAGGGGTTGTAAGTCCACCTTCTGTCTGGGGGGCAAACGTCCGCAGATTCAGTCGAGGCTGCTGTGGAATTCCGTTCTGCCGCTGCAGCTCATAGGAGGGTGTGCTTTTGCGGTTGTACGCAGGAATGGGTGGAAATGCCAATGACAAAAGTTTACGTGGACATTTTAAGGATGTGCTTGCAGTGTGGGGATGGTGGATTTTAGGAAACCGCTTGACAACCTGATTGAACACGTGAGCCATGCATTGGCGCCCATGGCACAACCTTCCTTGACACAGAGCAGACCACCATGTTCTTTACGTTTGTCGGTCAACATGGTTCCGATTTTCAGTTTGACGCGGAGACAGCCATCTGGCGATTTCTATGTTCATTAACTCTCAAGAAGTTTCCTCCCAGTGTGGGCTGTGACTTCGTTTCGCCAAAGCCCAATACCAGTGTGCACGCACTGCGTGACACCGCTCGCGCCCCTGCACATGTGATATGCCGGTCGGAGTAATGGGACATGGCACGGGATGGTGGCGGCCGGTGAGGGACAAGGCGGAAGAAGAGTTGTGGTCAGAGGCGGACATACTTTGCTGGGACCAAAGGGTACGTGCAAACTAGTGGAAGGCAAAAAGCGGGCGTGTCCTGTCCAAGTTGGCTGGTGCGGGCTGATGCGGGCACCCACGTTTCACCCAGTGGGCCGTAACTGACACTGTTACTGTCCCTGACCCGTAGTTTACAGCTCCACACGTCGGCGGCTGCGTGCAGGGGTTTGGTGCAGAGGACGAACATTGCTCAAAGACTGGCCCACCTCTCTTCTACATGTGTGAATGCAGGGCTGGCACTGCCTTTTGGCGAAGAAGAATGCGGCTTGGCACTCTCCCACCGCGGCTCGGCACAGCACATCATTTCTCGGAAAGGTGCTGAGTCCACCACTTGGAAAAGGGAGGGACTGCAGCACCAGCAACTTGGACAGGAGGAAATTCAGCTTGCTGCACCGTCGGGTGCGTTGCTCGCAAAAAGCTGTTGTCTCTTGGAAACGGATTCCAAGAAAGACTGCTGACGGAATCAGTGAAGAGGAAGTAGCAGGAGAAGGAGCATTCTGAACGAGCGGGAAAGATGCCAACCGAGGCGACAACTCCCCTCTGCAGTGGTGTATGGAGCCTTGACTGGCTGATAGAGGGTGATTGACGTCGGGTGACGGAAGCAAGTACCGGATTGCGGGTGATGGAGCGGGGGCTGGGGCAGGCAGAACCGCCGTATCTTTTCTCACGGTTTTCCCACGGCCACCGAATAGGCGACGCTGCATATGCTGACGCAACCGCTGGTAGTCCCAACATGGGGCCCCCTGGCCACGCTTGACTTTTGGCCACATAGTCGACATACAGCTACGTTTAATTCCTCGGGGCGGCTTGACGAAAAATTTGCCACTCCAGCCGAGCAGGGAAAACTTTGCCCCGCTACTCCTCACTGGTGAACTCCTACTTCCTCCGTGCACACCGCACCACTACTGGCCGTGGTGGTAGGCTTGCATGTGGATTCTGGTGCTTAAACTCCGTGTGGCCGTTTGCTCCACCTGACACTTGCCTGCGACCTGCTGCCTCCTGCTCGGGCAAGCCACGACTGTTTTGCTTGCTGCCAAGCTGGCACCCTCTTCTCCTGCTGATGGCGGAAGCAATACGCCTGATGACGAACGACGGCTGCCACGTGGGCGATCAGCTCTCATCATTCATCAATATAGGGTCTCCGCGTCACTACTAGCCCTCCTCGGCTGCCGTGTGGCGGTTTGGAGGACCCGCCCTGTCTCTCTGCACCGGGGCTACCGAGCCATCTCCTCGCCCAGTACTTCTTCGCCTGGCTGCTGACCGAGGACGGATGTCTCCCCCGTTTCTGAACCGCACCTTCTGTTAGCTCTTCCTCACTGTACAGTGTCTACTGCGGCCCACCAGCAGCTGACGAGTCACTTCGCTTGGTGCGGGAAACACCCAAGGGACCAGGGGCAGGTTAGAGGGGACACGTGATGTTAGA